CACACACACACACACACACACACACACACACACACACACACCCATACATACGCACACTACGAAGCCCCGCCCACCCCAAGACGTTTTTAAAAAGCCAAACACACCCTGCCTGCAACAGGTGGCCCGGGGCCGGCCTGTCAGAAAATGCAGCCAGGGCTGATAATAATCATAATAATGATAATTATCATAATCATAATAATGATAATTATCATAATCATAATAATCATAATAATACACACAATGGTTGAACTTCTTGCTCAGGCTAGATCAGGTGGGCCTCCCCTCACACAAACCAGGAAAAAGCTGCCCCCTTCTTCTCTCTTAATTTAATTTTGCTCAATTCCTGGATGGTTCCATGGTTCCAATTTGATCCCACTGTACAATTGAGCTGAGAAAGCCTAGTACTGCTGTTTGAGATTTTCCATACTGCACCAAATAAAGAATGACACCCAGTAAAGCACATACCTGCACCAAGGCCCAACAGTTCCCTTAAATTCAATCAAACCGCAAGACAACTGCACACACTTACTTCCCATTCTGTGCCTGCCCCATCAAGATCCATTAATAATTACCTGGGAAATCAGTGCAAATGTTGAATGTAGTAGAAAGTGAAATAAAAGAATCCAGTATCTGAACCCTTGATCCAGAGCCACACCAGAATTTAAAGGGTTCTCCATTATTCATCCAGTTTTTTCCCTAAGCAATCCTGCTAACTAACAAACAAGTGCAGATGAAAACAGAACCTCCTTGGTTTTAGTAAAAACATTTGTCCTAGTTTATGTCTAAGGGAAAAAAGTACATCTCCCAGAAATTACTGTATCTCTAAACTATCTGTAATTGTTATATGTGATGTCTTCTGATAGCTGATTGAATGTAATAGGTGTAATATGTTTTCTTTTCCATTCACTGAGCTTCCCCTGAAACAGTTTGGAGCCCCTGGAGAGGCCTGCATTACGCTCTGATGCTGTAATTGACCACGTATGTCTCCAAAATGTTCCTCATAGGCCGCATGTACCTGCAGCTTGTAGAGGTGAGTCATAGGCCACACAATAGAACACTGAGGTGATGAAGGATAATGTGGACTCGCCTGCAGACCCACACCCCTTTGTGCTTTTAACCTACACCCGGATAGGTGAGCTTATCTGCATATAAGGCAGGGGCTGCATGCGGAGATGACCCCCTGTACACAAGGCCTGGATTTTGTCTAAAGATGGTCTGGAGGGAGGACGGGGCTGCAGGGCAGGAAGCTCAACGGGATTCAGAGCCGGGTGTCGGGTGTCCCTGCCACTGATCCAGCTGGTCTAAAGAGGAGCTGCATGCTGCTGCCTCGGCACATTCCTGGCAAGTCAAACTCCCGACTGTCAGAGCTTGAAGGCGTCGCTTTTCAACAATTCTGTCACCTGGTACCCCCCCCCCAGTCGACAGCTGGGGCTGGTGGGACAGTGAGAGACACCCACCTCCACCCCTATCTGTCAACCATTCAGCCATATCTAGGGTGCTGTGCCAGCCTCTCTGTCGACCCCAGTACCCCCTCTCCTCAGATCAGCTCATTGGTTCATGTTGCAGTGGTGTGTGTCATACAGTAGGTGAGCTTGTTGCTGAGTCAGTTACACCTTGGCTTAGACTTGTTCATTTGATGATTTTAGTAAAATGTCTTTCCCATTTTCTTGTTGTGATGATTATAGCATTTAAATATTTGATTGTATTTGCATGTATATTTAATTTTAAATGTCACTTTTTAAATACCAGTTATCATGCAGATACCACTAATTGTAATTTTCACCTGAGCTTTTGTTTTTCATCCTGTTCCCTCTATTAGAAAAACAAGGCCAAGGTCGAAAATACCAAATAATGGACTTTAATAAATTATCAATATGTATATACACTTACATTCACATGTGTTGGGCAACATGTTGTTATTTTTTTATTAAAGTTGTTTTTTGGATGGATGCATGGTTCAGTGGTGGGGTTTTTCACAGCCTTTCTCCATGCAACACAGACAACAGACAGCTACAAAATATGCACATTTTATAGGGATAAAAATAGCATATGAATGTCAATAGCGCAGACTGACAGTCCATTGACAGCAGAGTGTTGTTGTGCCGCAGAGGTTGATCCTCCACCCCGTTGGATCTCCTGATGGCTGGTGGTAATAATGATAGAGTTGGTGGAGAAGCTGGAGAAGAAGATGGAAGATTTAGAAGCACTTCCTGTGGACAATGCTGGGGCCTGCCTCGTCGTACTCCTGCTTGGAGATCCACATCTGCTGGAAGGTGGACAGGGAAGCCAGGATGGAGCCACCGATCCAGACGGAGTACTTCCTCTCGGGGGGAGCAATGATCTGAGGGAGGAGGAGGAGGAGGAGGAGAGAGTGAATTAGCGACTGCATCTTCTTGTGCGCAATTGTAAATTTGGGTAAAACATTTCATCTTGGGTATAAACTTGTTTTTGTTCGCATCGTTTGGTTTAAGTACCTTGATCTTCATGGTGCTGGGGGCCAGAGCAGTGATCTCCTTCTGCATACGGTCAGCAATACCAGGGTACATGGTGGTACCACCGGAGAGCACATTGTTGGCGTACAGATCCTTACGGATGTCAATGTCGCACTTCATGATGCTGTTGTAGGCGGTCTCATGGATACCAGCAGACTCCATTCCTGGTCAGGTGAGAGGGACAAGTTTTCAGAGAGCGGCAGGTGTTGGCATAGATAAATATTTGAATTCTGTGAAAGATTTTCAGGATTAAAATGGTGGTCTTAAGTACCGATGAAGGAAGGCTGGAACAGGGTCTCGGGACAACGGAACCTCTCGTTTCCGATGGTGATGACCTGACCGTCGGGAAGCTCGTAGCTCTTCTCCAGAGAGGAGGAGGAGGCAGCGGTGGCCATCTCGTTCTCGAAGTCCAGAGCCACATAGCACAGCTTCTCCTTGATGTCGCGCACGATCTCACGCTCAGCTGTGGGGGGCAAATTGATGAGCCATTACTCAGAGTGTCGAAGAGCAGAGCGCTGCAGCGTGTGCGTAATGATATTACGATTTAATGTGCCGAACTAAGAAAGTTACTCTAAGTTACAGAAATGTCTGCTGGAAAAAGAACTAGTTCACATCTACATATTATTTTGATAATCATAATTTTTCGGGCACAGTGTGCACACACGCCACATAAATTGTAAATTAATTTCCCTGTATCTCTGTGCACGGCTGCTTTACGTGGTGCGCAAATCTGTCAAAACTGAATGTTAATGTCAGTTAAAGTTTAAGTTTAAGTGCTATTATAACATAACTGCTGGTAAAATAATGATTTATAATTATAATTTAGATACTACTTAGTCAAAAAAAATCATGTTGCTTAAAATAAAAGTCTGGAAAGAGCACATGTGTTGTTTCTTCCTTTTCAAATGTTTTGTTTTTGGAGCAAAGGCTGAGTTCCTCACCGGTGGTGACGAAAGA